CTCCCCGTGCCAAAGTGTTTGTCGGCCCCGGTCCGTGCCCGCATGCTCTTCAGCCGCCTTCTCCCTGTTGTTCGCAGGGTGGAGCATGCCCGGATGCATGCCAAGCACCGCGGGCACGAGGCTATGCATGCCGAAATGGTCCTCATCCTTATCGCCACGCTCGTGGTGGCACAGCTCCTCTTGGTTCAGTGGAAACAGAGGCACCCTCGCTCCTACAACGTAAGTGTGTCTTCCCCACGCGCCCCTTTCGTCTCCAAGGCTGAGCCGTGCCCTCCTTTAGCTGATGGGAAGTATATTCCTGTTTTTTATTTGTTTTTCTTTTTTTTATCTCTCCTCTTGTCTGGTGTCGAAATACCGTCGTCTTCCCGGTGGCGTGGGAGGGGATTCTCGTTAGGGATGATGGTGGAAGCTCCTGGACGCCTCAAGATTCTAAGTGATGCCAGTAACTCTGTTTTGCGTTTGACACAAAACACATCTGGGGGTTGTCCTGAGGGGAACGCGCAGAGAAGCTGCATTTCAGGGAGGTTTCTTGCTGCTGCCACCCTGGGTCTGATGGTTCCTGATGCCACTATCATGTCAGGGACTGTTATTTCACCTGAGCCAAACTTCACTCTGATTTTCCTTATCATAATTAACATTTCCAGGCGATACCTGTAATCCTTCATGAACTTCAACCTGAAACTTTAATCCCTTTTGCCCATTCCCCTCCGGCAGCACCACAGGAGCTTGGCTTCGAGGCTGCGGATCCCTTTAGGGGAATTGGCTGTAAGGCAGAGGGAAAACCTTCCTTTGTACCCGTCTCCTGGTTTAATACTTGCCTGAGGTGTCTGTGGTTGCAGCTTTCTGGACCCTGAGCCACCTCACAACAACCGTCTCCTGTACCTTCCTCTGGAGGTGTTTCCTCTGCGTTATCCCTCCAGCTCTTTGCTACCAAAACTCACCTGGCTGCTGCCTCCCGCTCCCTCAGGCAGACTCTAAGCCTGTTCTCTGGGTGCTGGGTGCCACAGACCAAACCTCCCGAGGTTCTCGGTGGTATCTGGGGCTCTCTGCAGGCAGGGGAATGTCTGGCAGAGAGTTTCTGATGTCCGCTGAGTGGAGACCCAGCTCAAAACGCCTCTCCTCTGTTCCTGCAGATGGTGACCCTCTTCCAGATGTGGGTGGTGCCGCTGTATTTCACCCTCAAGCTGTACTGGTGGCGCTTCCTGGTAATTTGGGTGCTTTTCTCAGCGGTCACGGCTTTTGTCACCTTCAGGGCAACTCGAAAACCTCTGGTACAGACAACACCCAGGTTAGCACACGTGTTCCCCGAGGAAAACTCCTCAGCCCCAGGGTAAACCGTGACGAGGAGCGGAGCTCTTCCCGCTTTCGCTGCCGCAGATCCTGTCTTAAACTTTGCATCCCGGGAGCGTGCGAGCCCTGCCCTCGTTGCTCCGCTCGAAGCCCTCGCTGGCTGCTCATGGCCTGAGGGAAATCCTGAGGTTTCCACTTTGGAAGTCAAGACCGTGAGCAGCCGCAGATCTATAGCTCCAATTAGAAATTTAAAACTTTGCTGCCAATGCAGGTGGGCGAATTGTCTGCAGACGCTGCCGTGGGGGTTTAAAAAGTGTGACTTGAGGTGCTTGGTACGGTTTGATTGAGTAGTTAAATCCTCGTTTTAATTCTTTACAGGTTGGTTTATAAATGGTTTCTACTAATATACAAGATCAGCTACGCCACCGGGATCGTAGGGTACATGGCTGTGATGTTTACACTTTTTGGTCTTAATTTATTATTCAGGTGAGTGAATCTTTCGCGTCCCACTCCTGGGGCGGGGGTTGTAAGGCGTTGGCTGTGGCTCGGGAAGAACAGTTGTCTTGGCGACCCCATTAACGGGGCCAAAGAGCCTCTTGGGGTGTCGTCTCCCTTTGCTGGGAGGGTCACCAGTGAGATGCTGGTACCTGAACTGGGCAAGGTTGCTGGAGAGCCTTCCTTCCAGCTCAGCTCCTCCAGCTCTGCACGTCTCCAACCTGGGGCCAGCTGTGGGTTTTTTTTTT